TAGAACACAGGATGTCAAAGCTGGGAGGGCCCTTAGAGAAGAAAGCTCAATTTAGAGACTGATGAATGGAGGATTTGAATCCCTGTTCTGCCACTTACTGTAACCTGTGTGTTCTTGGGCAAATCACTGAACCTCTGGGCCTGGGTCTCCTCCTTTGTAAACCACCCTGGACAACTATGCCCCTTTCCTCTTCCCCTTGGAGTTGGGTGGCCTCTGCATCTTACAGAGGAAGAAGTGAAGACGAAGAGAGGAAAAGTGACTGCCCAGAGGATCTGGATCTGGGTCTCCTGGCTCTGTTCTTACGTAGTTCCCCACCATCCCAAACGTTCTCCCTCCCCCAACAGAACTTCAGATGGGCTATACCTGGAGAATATTTAAAGGCACAGTACCTAGGACATACCCAGTAGATGTTTAATAAATGCTTGTTCCCTTCCCTACGAATAACAATTTCTAGGTTGTATCTGACCTGTTACATACAGGTATTTGTGGCCCCTGCCGCTACCTCTGGGAAGCCTTCAACTCCGCTGTTTTTCTCAGCCTCCTTCATGCCTCCAGGCCTTACTGGGCTGAATTTGGGGGACATTTGGCTAAGCAGGTTGGGCTGTGCCCCAGGACATCGAGGTTCACCCCAGGAAAAATAGAGAGAGCTAGAGTCTGGGGTGAGTCTCCATAAGAAACCTTCCGCTAGTTCTCCCAAGTGAGCATCTGCCCCGCTGTGCCCATCCCTGCCCTGGGAAGGACTCACCCCAAGGTGAGTCACTCCTAATGAAAGATCTCTCTGGGCATCATTCCTCCTTCCTTGAATAGTCAGAGGGCAAACTGAAGTCCAAGCCTATTGTCCTATCTTCCTATTTCTTGGTTTCTCAGAGGTTTTTCCCTTCTCACCATCTCAAGACAAGTCAACAACCCCAAAAGCCGATGAGATCTTAGGCTGACTCGATAGAAGCTTGGTGTCCTGAATGAGGGAGGACAAAGATCATCTGTTCTCTCCCCTGATCAGACCAGTCTGGGGTATTGTGCTTTGATCTGGATTTAAGATTGTAGGAAGAACACCGTCCATCCAGAGGAGGGCCTCTGGGATGGGGGAAGGAAGAGATCACGCCATGCCAAGATTGGTTAAAGGAATTGGGCATATTTATCCTGGAGAGAAGACTCTTCAATAATTTGAAATATTGTCACGAAGAGGAAGAATTAGCTTTCTTCTTCTTGGGCCCCAGCTGGCAGAACTGGAAGCAGTTGGGTATATATGCTGCCAAGAGGCAGATTTAAGCTTGATGAAGTTGGGAAACATTTCCTGACATTTAGAGTCTTCAAAGTGAAACAGGTTGGGGGCGGTGGGTTCCCTTACACCCGAGGTCTTTAAGAAGAGACTGGGTGGTTACTTGTAAGGGATGTTGAAGCAGGGCCTCCTATTCCAGCTGGGGGAAAGAGGAAGCCAGATAGCGCATTCTGACATCACCTTTGATGGGGCCCCCAAACCCCCACTCCTTTAGGGGCAAATCCGGCCTCAGACATTTACTAACTGTGTGACCCTGGGCAAGTCACTTCCTCCTGTTTGCCTCAGTTTCCTCATCTGTAAAATCAGCTGGAGAAAGAAATAGCAAACCACTCCAGTGTCTTTGCCATGAAAACCCCACATGGGGTCACGGAGAGTCAGACACAACTGAAAACAGCTGAACACTAACCACCACTCCTTCCCTGCCTAACAGAGGCTCCCTTCCTCCATCTCAGCCCTTTCTCTTAGCTCATGCTCTTTCTTCTTCCAGAATTGTTCACAAGTGCCCACAAGGACTGCTCTGTGCCCAGGGACATAGATTGCCCAGCCCCGGACCTCCCTTCCGGCTTCCTTCCCCCTACTGCTCCAGACCATGTCACCAGCAAGGTAAATGATATCCCTATGTTCCTCCATCCCACCCCAATTTGTCTGTACCCCCAGCTATACCTGGATCCCTATTCCCCCCTTAAAGAGGACAACACTGGATCGGGAACCCCTTCTGATCCTCTGACAACCTTGATGATTCTGTAGCAGGTTCAGACTCCCTACATCTGTGGTGTTTGAGGTGGAGCCAGAGGATCTGGGTTTGAATCCTGACTCTGCTATGGCCTTGCTATGTGATGTCAGTATATCTATCTGTAAAATGAAGGGTCTGGATAAGTTCCTGGTATGGTATCTTAGAAAGTATGCTGGATTCAGAGAAGATGGGTTCGAACCCTTGATTTTGCTTCCTGAATTCAAATCCTCCCTTAGATGATACTAATTAGCTGCATAATTCTGGGAAAGTCATTTCCCCTCTCTAGGCCTCAGTTTTCACATCTCTAAAATAGAAATAAAAGCACCTACCTCCCATAGTTGGTGTAATGCTTGAATGAGATAATATGTATAAAATGTTTTGTAAAAATGTTGACTATTATTATTATTATTACTTGTGTGACTTTGGGCAAGTCACTTAACTCCCCTCCAGCCTCAGTTTACTCATCTGTAAAGTGAGGGGTTTGGCTAGATGACTTCTGAGGTCCCTTCCAGATAGAGATCTATGAAGATTAAATGAGGTATCAATTTCCCAGTTATCCAGGCCCTTGGATCCAGGCATCTAGCAATAGCTATATTTATTTTCCAAACCTGCTAGCAGGCACTGAGGCCTAATCCCTGGCTGTAAACCAGCTGGTTACTGGGCCCTCTACTTCCTTCCAGGAACATGGAATGGCCATACTTCTTTGATGAACATTCGTGGTATAATTAGGTCTGTCAGTCCACAAGCATTGATTAAGTACCTACTATGTGCCATGCACTGTACTAAGTTCTGGGAATACAAAGAAATTCAAAAACACAGTCCCTGCCTTCGAGGGGCTTCCAGTCTAATGGAGGAGACAACATGTAAATAACAACACACATAGAAGACAGAGAGAGCGGGTGAGGGGAGAATCAGAAAGGGAAAGGTATCAGGAGCTAGGGGGACCAGAAGAAGGCCTCCTTTAGAAAGAAAGTGAGACTTGAGTTGCCAGATGCTGTCTTAGAAACTAGATCTGCCTGAATCCCCTTTTTCCTCTCAATTTAGGAAAAACAAATGGATTTCTGTTGGGATCCCTGGCAGGTCAGTTGACTTGCCCCAATCTCCCCCCACCAAGCCCTTACCCCGTGCCTGGCCCCTTGGCATGCTGCTACCCTTCATATGGTCCTTGTTGGGTCCTGTGGGAAAAGTTGGGGCAGAGGGGACAAGGAAGGCTCTCAACACGCCAACCCTGGGCTATCCCCTCCCAGGCGTCTCATTCCATGGCCCTGGCCCAGCATCTAAGATTGACATAGGAGGAAGGGAGGGTGTTCTAGGACTAGAGGGGGCTGCCCACTGACTGTCTCTTTTTCTTCTCTCTTCAGAAATGCTTTCGGACACCCAATGGCTTTCTGTCTGAGTCCAAGACCTGCTCTAGTAACTACAATGTGGCCGCCCTAGCCACCTCATCCCTAGTGGGTACGTACAGGCCCAGAGCAGCCTTACGGCTTGAAATTTTTAGCACCTGGGACAAATGGCACAAAATTGAGTTCTAAAGCCCTACCCTGCTGAGGGAGACAGACACTTGCTAGATGAGTAGGGCAACTCATACTAATCACGGATTATTGTTTGTCCTTCATTCTCACAGAGGACCATGACAACAGGAAGGTGTTGCCATGACTTGTAAATTAACTGGATTTAAGTGAGGCATGACTGTGCAAAGTTACCAGCCTCATGTTCTCCTCTGGAGCCATCTGGGTCCAGTGGCAAGATATAGCTGCCCCACTGGGGACCCAACTGTCCAGTTTTAGTTGGGCAATGTAACTCCTCTTCTCTTTCCTTCCCTGCCCTCCCCTCCCCTTTCCTCTTCTCTCTTCTCTCCTCCTTCCTCTCCCTCTGTCCATATAGGGTATCATACCCTTACCTGAGGGTGCTGTGCCCATAGGAATGTAAATTTTGATCACTGAAACCTCACAAGATATCTTGGGGCTTACAGGCTAGATTTCTTTCTTTAGGACCATGCCTTAAACCCAAATCACTCTGGCCCTCACTGATTGGCCAACAGGTCAGTTGGCTTAGGTCCCAGCCTAAGCCCCAATTGGTCATTGTTTGGGCCTTGATGGCTCAGAGTAAATATAAATAGCAATTGTTTCTGTTTTGGCCAGAAACCTGAGGTCTTTCCCTCCCAGTTGATTTTTTTTTTTTTGACTAGGTAAAAAAGACCATTCTTTGCCTCGTTTCTTACCTAGCCTTAATCATTGACTGGGTGTTGCCTCAGTCAAACTGAGACCTGGGAAAGACCTTAGCTTAAAAAGGCCAAGGTCTCCCACTGCACTGGGGCCATTTCCAGTCATTCTGATCTATATCTTGCCACTGGAACCAGATGGCTCTGGAGGAGAAAGTGAGGCTGGTGCTGCCTCACTTAAATCCAATTCACTTGCAAATCATGGTATCACCTTCCTGTCAAGGTCCTCTTCAAAGACAAACAACAACAGATGAACAGGGGAGGGTCATAGATTGGGACTGAGCTAGAGAAGAGTTTAGCTGGTAGACATTGCCACAGGTAGGCAGCTTCCTATTTTGCCTCATTATTCTTTCTGCCTAGGTGCTAAACTCAATTGTTTCAGTTGCCCTGGGACAAAGCTAAACTAGGTATTAAGCTTAATTTTTTCCAGCTCCCTCTAAATTTTGGTGCCCTAAGCCAAAGTGCCAGTTGCCCCGCCCTAGGGAGACCTCTGTATGGACCTTTTGTCTGGACCTGCTGCCTTCTACCCTCCTCTACTGGGGACCAGACCCTAGAAGATCTGGGTCAGGAAGCTGACCCTCCAAGAATCAAGTCAACAGTAATTTATCAGATATCTGCTATGTGCCAGGCACTGTGCTAAGAGGGCTAGACCTCAAAGACTGTGTATTTAAATGAATAAGGAAAAGGGCAAGGGCAAAGACAAGGAGGTAGGAATGACTCACATCACACCTGTTGGGGAAAGAAGAGGAGCTTAGCTGGAGCATGTGCCTGGGAGGCATGAAAGACTGGCTTCCTCCCACCCCCCAACATGGGCCAGGCTTATTCCTGCCACTGCTTCCATGCTGTTTTCTCTACATGGAATACCTTGTCCACTACCCTTTATCTCTCCATCCTTTAAGGCTCCATGTAAGCTCTGCCTTCTCCAGCGAGCCTTCCCCAACTACCTTCATCATCAGCGCTCTCCCTCTCCTCCAAGAGGGAATATGATGTGGTAGAAAGGACCCCGGATAGAGGAACAGGACTGGAATCCTGGTCATACCACTTCCTACCTGTGTAATCTAGAACACATCACTTTAGCCCGCATGGATCTCAGTTTCCTCATCTATAAGATGGAGTATTGGGCTTAATAATTTCTAAGGTCTCTTCCAGCTCTAAGTCTATGAATTCCTACAGAACTGGCTGAACTCCTTTGAACAAAAAACTTATCTGAGGATCCATCGACAGATATTGCTGTCAATCAATAATGCAGAGCAGTGATAAAAACCAGTTCATTGTGTATACAACAATCAGTGAGACCTGAGCAGCAGTTTCAGTCACCTTATATGGGTTTTGGTTACATAAACAGGATGGGAACAGTGGAATTTCAAAGAGTAAATAAGAGGAGATGATGATTTACAGATAAAAGAACAGATGGCAGAAGGGGAAGGTCTGCAGCAGGTAAGACAAGGTACTAACCAGTTGACACCAGAGCTGTAGCTGATATTTCAAGCAGCAAATTTGCAAACAGACAGAGCAGGAACTAACCAGATAACAGTAGGGCTATAGTTGATGTCTCAGCTCGATTTTACACTGTAGCTATTATATGTGACCTGCTCATCTTAAATAAATGGTGGTAAGAAAGGTAAGCCAGAAGTTCTCTTATCACACTATTCTACACTATTCTTGGCCTAGTATACAACATGCAACATTTTTGCATTTTTGGGTGGTGGTACAAATATGGTGGCGTATTACAGTACAGGATCGAGAACTCTGGCTCTGTGGGTAGAAGACCTGGGTTCAAATTCCACTGTGGTACTTACTACCTGTGTATGACCTTGGGCGAATCCCCTCCCCTCCCTGGACCTCCATCTTCTCATTTGTTAAGTGAGGGGCTGAGACAAGGTGACCTCTGGGATTCTTGCAGCTCCAGATTTGTGATCCGTGACCCGGCGGGCATCGGCACATAGGTGGGAAGGGAAGGAGGGGACAACTGACTCAGTTTCTCATTACGCCCAGGTGTGGTGCAGAGTATCAAGGACCACATCACGAAGCCCACAGCCATGGCTCGGGGCCGAGTAGCCCACCTGATCGAGTGGAAAGGCTGGAGCGCCCAGCAGTCAGGCTGGGACCCATCCCCCGCAGAGGAGGAACATTACAGCTACCTCCCTGATGAGCTTCGGGAGGCCCGATTTGCAGCAGGTCAGTGGGAGCAGTGGGTTGGGGGAAGGTGAAACCAAGGAGCAAAGAACTGGTACCTAGGTTAAGGCCCCATGGAGCCTCAGACAACATGCTTTTGCCCAAAGGGGAGACTGGAGTGGAAGAAGCATTGGACAAGATCAGAAGACCTAGATTCAAATCCTGACTCTCCCTATCATCGGCTTCGATCCTGAGCAAGACACTTAACCTTAATGAGCTTCAGTTTCCTCATCTACCAAACGGGGATAATCATAACTAAGCTACCAACCTTACAGGGTTATTGGGAAACAAATGTCTTGTAAACTTCACAGCAATATAGAAATGTCAGCAATTATTATTGGATGGGTGCTAGACCATTGGATGGATATCAGATCATCAGGTAGGCAATAAGTCCTTGTTTGGGCATAGGACTGGTACCCATAGGATGAGCACTAGACCATTAGATGTGCATAGTATTATTGAGTAGGTGGGTATTAGACCACTGGATTAGCATAACATCATTAGGTGAACCTTGGACCATTACAAGGACATAAGATCATTTGGTGGGCATAGGGTGGTTAGATGGGCTTTGGACCATTTGGCAGTCGGAATAGGATTTTTCCTGGGCACTGGATCATTGAATTGGAATAAAGTCATTAGGTGGGCACTGGACCATAGGGTAGATATAGGATTGCTAAGTGGGAATTGAACCATTGGATAATTGGATGGAGATTGGATGGGTATCATTGGGTAGGCATGGGAAAGAGTCTAAAGAGATGACTGCTTTACCAGTCTCCCTCCACTGAACCTAGCCATTGCAGCTACCAGGGGACATAGGGTAGCGTCCGCCACCAACTCCAGCCCTGGTCTCTCCTTCTCAACACAGGTGTTGCTGAACAGTTTGCCATCACTGAGGCCACACTGAGTGCCTGGTCATCAATAGAAGATGAGGAGATGTGCCATGGAGAGAGTTCCCAGGATGTCATCCCCCTACAGGGTATGTTCCCCTGGGTAGGGGTGGGGGAGCAAAAGGAGAGAAGATGAACAAGTCAATTTAATTAAATTCAGATATAATTTATAAGTGCCTTCTATGTGCCAGGCACTGTGCTAAGTAATACACAAACAAAAAAGAAATTGTCTCTGCCCTCATATTCTACTGGAGGGAGGAAGCACCATGTACATAGACAAGAAAAAACAAAAAATATATCAAATTACATAGAATAGTTTTGTAATGGAGAGGTCACAGTTATAGAGATTAGAAAGGCCTCTTATGTTGTCGTTCATTTGTTTTAGTCATGTCCAACTCTCCATGACCTCATTTGGGGTTTTCTTGGCAGAGATGCTGGAGTGGTTTGCCATTTCCTCCTCCAGCTCATTTTACAGATGAGGAAACTGAGGCAAACAAGGTGAAGTGACTTGCCCAGGGTCACACAGCTAGTAATCATCTGAGGTCAGATTTGAACTCAGGTTTTCCTGACTCCAGGACTCGTGCTCTGTCCATTGCACCGCCTCGCTGCCCCCCAAAACAGGTGATAGTGAATGTGGAAAAAAGTATCAAACTTTGAAACGTCCAATAATCATATTCTACATGGAGGACTAGTGATTTCATCAGAGCTGGTGCTCTGGCCTGCTACCCAGACAGATTATAACAACTCCTTCCTCCAACCCCCATGCCTTGGTAGACAGTCTTCATGAGTCACTGGGTCTAAAAAAAACCCCATCCCCCCTGTGGCCAGCTCTCTGGTGATGAGTATCTCTGAGCTGAGTGGACTCTCCCACATTTGACACAGTCCCAACTTGCTCAACTGTGCCAAGGCCCACGCGCCATTGGCAAAACCTTGGAGAGCCCAGGGTCACCTCCATGCCCCCATGAGGCATCAGAGAAGCGACAGCTGAAAATGATTATAGGATGAGATCATTGACAAGGATTTTTTTAAAGCATTATCTACGTGTCCTCTACCCTAGTGCTCTGAGGATGCTCTCATCAGAAGGCCCCCTTTATGAATGGATGAGGAATATGTAGGTAACAAGGGAGCGAGGGAGCGACGTTGGGAGACAGCATCAACCTCAGGTGTCTGTTCACCTTGCAGGACAGGGCCAGAAGTTGCCAGCGGGTCACAAGCAAGGACAAGAACAGCCTTCCCCCTAAGCGGGGAGGGCAGGAGGACCGGGGCCGGCTGGGATCGGGGTAGGGAAGAGAAGAGGCGGTCCCTGAGTAAAGAAAGGGAGGGTGGAGAGCATGAGAACGTATTATAGAAAATGCTTTGAGACTTGGAGTTCTACTCTTGGAATTTTCCATTGACCCAGCATCACGCACCATCCCTGGCCGGCCAGAGTGGATGCTAAGGAGCAAATCTAGGTTAGTGGAAAGAGCCTGGCCTCAGTCTACCTTTCCAGTTGCTTTATACATCACTCTCCTTCATGCACTTATCGGTCCAGTCAAACTGGCCTCATGCAGGGTCAGGGGTGTTATGAGGCTCAAAGAAGACTGTGGATGTAGAGCACTTTGCAAACCCTAATGTGCTCAGTTATTAATATTATTATTATAATTATATTATTATAATACCAGCTTATTATATTACCAGGTAGGTGGCACCATAGTGCATAGACCTCTGTGCCTGGAGGCAGGAAGACCAGAATTCAAATCCAGACTCAGACACCTAGTAGCTATGTAACCTTGGGCAAGTTACTTAACCGCTGTCTGTCTCAGTTTCCTCAATTGTAAAATGGGGGTAATAATATCATCTACCTCCCAGGGTTGTTGTGAGGGTCAAATGAGATAATATCTATAAAGTGCTGAGCAAAGAGCTTGGCAAATAGTACATAAATGCTTATTACTTTCCTATTATTATGAATAATAATAATAATAGGCTTCCAAGTCTGGTGATGACTTCATTTCCTGAACCTTCTATTGCACTCCTGCTGAGCTCAAGCAAGATTTATGGAGTGATATAGGAGTGTGCTGGTAAACATTTAACAACCAGGCTGTGGGTGGGGGTGGGGGTGGGAAGGGAGGCAGGAGGGATGGAGAAGAATGTATGCAAATCCTGTTAAGTTTAATCTGAGTCATTAACACTTTCTCCAACACTTTCTTAAGTCTGGAAGTCAACAAAACAATAAATCATCCTGATTGGTAGGAGTTGCTGATTTCTGAGATGTAAATTTTCACACTGAAAATTTCACAATAGGTCTAACAAGTCAGAGCCAGCTCCTGCCCTGGGATGTTCCAAAAGTCTTAGTGCAGTTTTCTTGTGTAATGTTGCCTTCTGAATCATAGAAGAAACATTCAATTTGTTAGTCAAGTCCAGTTTTACTGGACTCTGAAGCTTAGGAAATTTAGGGTGAAGATAACCGTCTTAGAGCACGGGACAACAATGGTGTTTGCTAGAGTGATGGCATCCCTACATATACAGGAAACACCTTATATATGACCTTCCAGCTCCCATCTCTGGGCCTTTGCACTGGCTGTCCCCCATGCCAGGTGTGTCTTCCCTTTCCACATCCCTAGTTTCCTTCAAACCTTAGCCCAGGCACCACCTCCTTCCTATATCAGGTCATTCTTTAACCCCTATCTTTCAGCTGCTAACACCTCTATCATAAAAAAAAAAAATCACCTTGTATTTGTTTTCTGTAAAAGCTTATATATGCTGTCTTCCCTGTTAGAATGTAAGCTTCTTGAGGGCAGGGACTGATTTTTTTTTAAACCTTTGCATCTTAAGAGGTGACCAGCAGCTGACTTGATGATTGATTGACTGATTGATTGGTCTTGGAGACATAGGTTAGCATTCCGGCTCTGATATCTGGTGCCACTGTGGTTCACTTAGCCACAGTCTTCCCTAGCCTCAAAGAATCATAGATTTAGAGGTGGAAGGGAGCTTAGAGGCCATCCAGGCCAACCTCCTCATTTGACAGATGAGGAAACTGAGGCACAGAGAGATCATGTGATTTGCCCAGGACCCCCATCCCAAACAAGGAGACCTGGGGGAGGGAAGGGGGTCCCACACGAGGGATAAAGGCAGGGAAGGGTCAGGGCCCAATTCTAACCCTATTTCCTTGGCTTCCAGACCTCGGGAGCATCTACCTGCAGGACAATCTCCTGAATGGGCCCTTGCTGGAGGGGAGCCTCCAGGCCTTCTCCTCCTCACTCTCCTCGTCTCTGCCTGCCCCTGGCCTGCCTGCTGAGAGCTGGGACTCCCCTGAAGAGCTGTCTACAGCGGGACCCTGGCCTCCCAGCCCTGAAAAGCAGCAGCTGTTGCTGCTGCCAGTAGAAGCAGATGCTGGCGAGGGCCAAGCCCAAACAGAGTCCAGGACCCAGCTCCACAGCTCTCTCCGCTATGTGGACAGCAGCTCCCTGTCAGAGGATGAGGTCTTCTATAACTGAGGCCGGGCCCTAGGCTGGCACTGGGCTGGGCCAGAGAAAGACACCAGTGGGAAGAAGGAGGATCAGGGGCCCCTCCTTTCTTCACTGACCCCATTGACCTCCCTGCCCTGATGCACTTACCAAGGGGTGCCACATGGGGCCTGCTTGCCCCATCAGCTGTGGCTCAGGACCACAGGGCATCAGAGTTTCCAGTGTCTAGAGATGAGGGTTGCTCCCCTGCAGTGCACGGACTCATGCCTCTCTTTGGGTCCTCTGACATCATGATGAGAAGGGCAAGTCAGGCACCAGATAGGCATGGGGCCATGGTGGAGTCATTAAGACTCCTTAGAAAACCAATTGGTGCCTCAGTTTATCCCCTTGTTCAATGGGAGCCATATCCCCCCACCCCTTTCCTTTCCCTTTCTGTTTGGAAGGTAAGCTGGCTCAGGAGTCTTCGAGATGCCCGTTCTTCCCACAGCCTCTGACTTTCTTAGCCCTTCTTTGGGGCCCAGCAGAATACTGAGCTCTGTGACATCCAGCATTGCCCCTGAAAAGTCCCCCTGCCACCTCCTTAGTGGGGGCACGGAGGGCACAGGAAGGTAGCAAGGGATTGAGTGGGGTGTCTGAACCTCTGGGTTCCATCCTCAGTCTCCCCCCACATCTCACACTTCTATGGGGGGAGAAGCTCTCTCTAACCCCTCATTCCTTTTATGCTTCTTCCTGCCCTCCTCCCCCAGCCCTCCTACAAGGTGGTGACTCCCTCCCCTGGCAGCTAAAGGCTGCCCTCTTGTCACTGTGACCATCTGTCCATCCTCACACTGTAGCACTTCCTGGGCACCCCAGGGGTTGGCTCCCAAGTTACTGGAGATCCTTCCCTGAGACGTCCCAACAGGGCCTCCTTGGTGGACAGTCTTCTCTCTCTCCACGCTATCCCTCCCCTTCCCCTACCCCCAGATTCTCTGAAGACATTAAAGTGGTGGATTTGCCCAGTAGCTAACATCTTGATCTCTTGGGGGGGGGTAATTCTTGGGTCCCTAGCTCCATCAGAACCTCCATGTAGACACAGCAGAAACCTTGTCGGGGAGCCTACCTTGGCCAGAGCTATCCTTTACTGTGATATCCAACCAACTGAGGCTTGATTTCCTGTGTGTGAGCTACACTCTGGACACTGCCTTTTTAGCCCCATTTTCCTTTCACCAGCTGGGGCTAGTAGCAGACAAAGGGGAAAGCTTACTTGTACCTGAGGCCAACTCTTCTGCTGGGAAGAAGAATAAATAAGGTTCCATCTTCCAAGATCAGAGATCTATCTTGCTGAAATATGAAGATCACTGCAAACCCAGAAGTTCAGCTTCATTTTCCCTAGCCACAGAATTTGGGGGGGCAGGACAGTGACTATTGTATAGGATGGTTGGGCATGTGGGAGATGGGGAAAAGTCAACTTTTTTACAAGGCAGATAAGGAGTCATAGGCTACTGAGTCCCACCTCAGCTCCTCTCTCTGGTGACAGAGGCCCAGAGGTGCCCATGGACACTTCCAGGATCCTGGATGTCTGCCCAACCTTCTCTATGGAAGATGTTCTGCCCTGGATGGGCCACTGCAGCTAGGGGAATGGGGCAGAATCTGCTCTGACCTCTAACCCCTTGCAGGAAGAAAAAAAAAAGATTTTGCTAAAGCTGCCCCTGACAACAAAAGGAGAGTGAACGTGATGGAGTGAAAGGAATCCTGGGGGTCTGAATTCAAATCTAGATTTTGCTGCTTCCCACTTTGCATAACTTTGGTCTAATCACTTACCCTAACTGGGTTTCAAAAATTTTCAAAATGAAGAGATTCTGTGTAATACAACAAGCATTTATTAAGCATGCACATGGCATCAGGCTAGGAATAGAGCCCCTAAAGGCCAAATAGACAATGATCCCTACCTTCGAGGAGCTTCCATCCCCCTGAACTGGGCAAGATGAGCTCTGAGGATCATGAGGATTCTAGACCCTATGACCCAGGGGAGAAGGGAGTGGGCTTAGGGGTGAGGGCTCTGTCAGTGAAATGAGATGCAATGAGCCCAAACAACAGAGGCAGTGGTAGTAGCAGCAATAGCCTGGTTCCTTGATCAAGCCAACAGAATGGGGCTGGTGGGCTCCTCACCCTTCTCCTCCACCAGGCTGCCTTATTTAGGAGCTGAGGGGTTTGCCAGGTCAGCAATGGCTTTCTCCAGCTAGAGGAGAAGAGAAGATTGGTATGGGTTGTTTGAGGGTGGAAGGAGATTACTCAGAAACCAAATAAAAGTGCCCCTCTGGTCCCAACTCCCTGAAGATCTTTCCTCTTGTGCTGGCCTGGGACCTAGAAGCAAAACCTAGAATCAAATGCCTGCTGGGAACCCCTGAGACCTGAGTTGCCTCTTGCACAACGAGCTGACCTAGAGACTCCATGAGATAGGGTCCAGACTGTAACCCACTGGAGTTGCTTCAGATCACTGTCCACCTCTGTCTGCTTCCTCCCTTCCCCATCCCTCGTACCTC